GAACTGAAATTGAAAATATATCGTAAACAAATAATATAAAATAATATGTAAAAACAAAACTACCTATGTAAAAATTATGTAAAATCAATGTAAACAATGTCAGCCAATGGTCAACGTTGCCGAGGCTTATTTCTAATAAAAAAAGTTCTAATTACAATTTGTTTAGTTTGATTAGTAATTATTGATTACTATGATTTAAGAGGTTTGTATAGTAATTTAATCTAACTAATCGTTTTACATACCGAACCTACCGAACTTCAACACAGTTCAACTGTACAGGTTTACCACGAACGCTGGTGGTCAAATGATTTCGGTAAAATACGATTGAGAACGTTATTTTTTGTAACACGATTAAGAACGCTCGATATTTTTATTTTTTTCCAACGTTGTAAAATTTAATCGAACAATAATTTGAGCACGATAATCGGCTATCGAACGATTACCTAAGAACTTTATACCTTTTTGACTGAACGATTGATACAAATAATACAATTGATTTTTAATATTTATCGGCAGTGTTGAATCCAGGTATAATTCAGCGGGGGAGTTCACCTCCCCCCCTGGCAAATACAACTTTCTGACTTTCAACAAAATGTACTTATTTATTAAATGCACAATACTAATTTATATATAAATAATTAATAGGTTTCTAATTTATTTTGTAATTTTATCAATATTTATAATTTCTTAATTGCAATAAATTATATTAATACAATTTATAATATGTGACGACCTTAGATTAACCTTAGATTGATTTAAAAATTTAAAAATTAATAATTTGTTTYATAACTTTTTAAATATTTATAATTTCTGAATCGCAATAAATAATAATAATAGGTAATACGATTTATAATGTGTGACAACCTTAGATTGATTTAAAAATTAAAAAAAAARAAAAAGTTTTGTAGTTTTATATAAATTTGAAATGTCTAAATTATAAATTATTGTAATAAGAATAACTACCTATTAATAGATATAATTCATAATACTAAAATTATGTATTACCATTCACCAATGAAAAAAAAAGTGAGCCCGTTTTTTATTTTTTTATTTATTTATTATAATCAACGCCAGACGGCTTTTACAAAATAACAGACAGGAAGTAGGTACATAGATATCAGTATAAAAAACATATACAATATATGTAAGATGCGTAACTTATACTAACTTAATAAAAGAGAGAAGAAAAAGAATTAGTAAGTAAGTAAAACAAAAAAACAACGTGGTGTAAGTTATGTGAAAAAAAAAAATGTGAGCCTTCGTACTACATATGGCTTAATAGTCTATATGATTATTTGCATTATGCATCATCCTTATAAGTGGGGCATTCCTGGAGAAGTTTGATTTATYGGTGGGTATATAAAAATTACATTGAAGCCTAGTGTTACTAGGAAYACGAAAGCTAAGTTSTCCAAGTAGTCTTGGRGCATCAACTTGACCTTCGATCAGACGCTGAATAAAAGTGATATCAAAATTATCATGCCTTACAGAAAGGGGAACTAGTCTCAGAACTTGACTTAATGGCCCATAATCATGTGGTGGATGAGGAATGTTGAGGCAATAATCGGCGAAACGCATAAAACTGTTTTGTACACGATCAATCCGACRAATGTCAACTGTGGTATATGRTGACCAAATAATAGACCCATATTCAATGACCGAACGGACTAAAGCATTATAGAGAGCTAGAAGGCAATTGGCAGAACTAAAATTGGTTGAGTGACGMCTTATGAATCCCAAAGCACGAAAGGCTTTGCTGGTCATATAATCAATATGAGGGCTAAAATTAAGAGAAGGTACAAWTAAAATGCCTAAATCATGGACCTGGCTAACACGTTGAATAGATATACCATCAAGTCTATAGTCAAAATATATCACTGCCTTAGAGCGATAGAAAGTCATAACTTTACATTTAGAGATGTT